GAGGCGGTGTCGGCGGGCGGCCTCGGGGCGCGCTGCGACGCGCTGCTGCGCGAGGGCAGCGAGCACACCGCCCTCTTCGCCCTCCGCCCGTGCGCCGACTTGCCCGCGCAGAGCCTCGGCACGGTGGTGGCGAGCTGGTCGCGCGCCCCGCTCGAACCCGGCGCCGAGCCGTCCACCGACGGAGGGGCGGAGGGGTCGGGGACGGAGCCGGCGGCCGCTCTGGCGCCGGAGCGTTCTGCGCGTCTCGCCTCGCCCGCCGCCGCCGCCTTGCCGCTGCCTCCGCGCGAGGCGCTGCCGTTTGCGCCGCCGGCGTCCAGCACCGAGGCGGCGCTTCCGGCGGTGGCGGTGGAGCCGGTCGAGTTTGATCTGGCGCTGACGGTGCCGAGTGAGGGGCGGCTCGGCGCGCTCCTGCAGCTCCAGCTGTCGATCACCAACCGCACGGACGCGCTGCACACGTTCCGCCTATCCTTTTCGGAGAACGAGGCCTTCCTCTTTAGCGGCTTCAAGCTGCAGCAGTTCCAGCTGCCGCCCGGCTTTGGGCACACCGCAAAGTTCAACCTCGTCCCCATCCTGTCTGGCCCGGCGCAGCTGCCGCCGCTCCGGCTCCTATGCACACGCCCGCCACCGTCTGCCGGGCCGCCTCGCGTGCCAAACCCCCTCTGAGGCCGGCCCGTGAATGCCCGCAGGCACCTCGACCAATGCAGAGCTGCTCGACCCAAAGGCGCGCCGCCTTGTCTTTGTGGCCCCGGGTGGCGTCCAGCGCAACGCGTGAGCTCTACTTCCATCAATATTCAGATGTGATGGAGCGATGCGATGCGTGTGTGAAGCACCTTATTGGATTTCAGATTTATCGTGCGCCATTGGACTTGGAGACGGACGTGTATCGTGTTCGTCTCCAATACACGATATCCGGATTGCAAAAAACATCCGGAACCCAACACATGACGTGAGTCTCAGGAAGAGGAGAAAAGGCGGAGAGAAAACAAAACGAGAACACAACGCGCACTCTCTCACATGGACAAGCGATCCTACGACAGCAACTGTGGGGACTACAGAGTGCGGCGTGCGATGCCTTCCTCACGTCTACATCCTCTACACCCTCCCTCAGCTTTGTGTTAGTGCCAGTCAGTGGACAGTGCGCGCCAGTCGCAGTCCCGTGCCTAGTGAGGGATTTGAGGATCACTCGAGCAGTTTTGGACTTTCGAAAGTGAGACATCGTCTTTACTAGCCCGTCGTTAGTCGTGAACGGTGGGGAGCCGTTCGCAGGAGAGCAGGCCGGCCGCCGCCGCTGCCGCACACACACGCACGCTCCGAAGACACACCTCACCTACCACCTCACACATCCTTCCCCGCCGCCGCCACTGCCGCCGCTGCAGGACATTGCATGCACGGAGAGCCGGTGACGGCGTCCATGGCCTCGCAGCCGAGCCTCAAAGGCTGGCAGACCTGGGGCGGCCGGCACGTCTTTCTCTGCGACGGCCGCGTCATGGTTGGACCGGACTGGGGCGTCACCTGCTTTGCTGTCGCGCTGACGACCGTGCTCAGCGTCGCCTTTTGGATCTTTGTCTGCCCGACGCTGGCGGGCGCGCCGCTCGTGACGAGCGTCGGGATGCTGCTGTATGCGCTGACGCTGACGCTGCTCGTGGCGACCGCAACCGCGGACCCGGGCATCCTGCCGCGTGCGCCCTACGTCGACGACGCCGAGTCGCTCGCCAACGCGTCCGCGGAGAGGTTTGTGGAGGCGCGGACGGGTCGGCCACGCGCCCTGCCTGCGCTCTCGCTGCACCTCTCGGAAGCTTCTCGGAACCTCCCCACAGGTGCGTGGCGTGACGATGCCGCTCAAGTGGTGCTCGACGTGCCGCATCTGGAGGCCGCCGCGCGCGTCCCACTGCACCGAGTGCAACGTCTGCGTCGAGCGCTTCGACCACCACTGCCCCTGGACCGGCCAGTGCGTGGGGCTCCGCAACTACCGATACTTCTTCGGCTTTGTGCTGTCCGTCTGCAGCCTCTGCGCGTACACGCTGGTCGTGTCGGCACTCTCCTTCCTGCACGCGCTCGCGGCGGCGCTCACCGACGCGACGAGCGGCGGCGACCGCGTCGGCGTCGCGCTCGACGAGCGGCCAGTGCCTGCCGCCCTCTCCATCGCGACGGCGCTCATCCTGCTCTGCGTGTGCCCGCTGCTGTGCTACCACTGCTCGCTGACGTGCCGCAACGCGACGACGTCGGAGGAGATCAAGGGCACCTTCGCGGACAGAGCCAACCCGTTCGACCAGTCCTGCCCGGCCAACTGCAGGCACGTCTTGTGCAGACCGCTCCCGCCCTCCAGACTGCACCTGCGCTCCGCCGCCGCCGAGGAGCTCGGCGGGCCGATGATCCTGCGCAACGACGGCGGTGGCGGGGAGGGCGGTGGCGGCGTGGAGCTTCCCATGGCGGCCGCCGACGAGGGGCCGCCGCCGCTGCGCACCGCCACCCTCCCCGGATCAGAGGGCAAGCGCCGCCCCGCACGCGAGCAAAGCTCTCCGGACGACGTCCCGGTCTAGCGAGGGGCCTTACGGGTCGGGCGGCCGCCAGCCGCCGAGCTGCGCCCCTCTCTCCTCACTCCTTGCCTTGGTAGCCTCCTCTTCTCGCGAACCCCCATGTCTGCTTAGCGCCGCTTGCGAGGCGCGATTCCTCTGTACCTCCCACCCGTGGCTGATTTTCACATCCCCCCTCAATTTTGCTGGCTAAAAGAAAGGCATGAATTCTGGCACCTCGTCCTCGACGCTCCGCCCTTGGCGCGAACACCGCAGTCATTTTTTTCTCTACACTCTAGCCGGCGGTGTGCTAAAAGAAAAAAGAGCCCGAGTTCGCGTCCTTCCCGGGGGAAGGCGCAAGGAACAAGCAGTGCTTGAAGCAGGGAAGATTCAACGTGCGCGTCGGACGTCGCTTCACCAGGCCATGCTGGAGATCGGCGCTCCGGTGTCGCACGAGCGCGAGGTCTGACGCGTCCCGAGGTGCTCAAAGAGAGCGGTCATCTGATAGTTCAAGCGGCCTGGTACTCCAACAATTTCTTAAGAGTCGCAAGCACCGGTCCAAAAAGAAAAACACCGTGCCGCGTGCTGTCTTACTGAGGCGCTCTCGCTCCTCTGCTCCAGCGCCTACCTCGCTTGTGCGGATAATGCAGGCGGAGGAGTGGCAGCCAGCACGGAACCGTCGGCGCGAGCAGCGCGGAATCGCCACGGTGGCAGCAGCAAGGCCGACTTCGTCCCGCCCGGCGCCGCCTTGCCGCTTCTTCCAGGTCGGCTCGTGCTCCAAGGGTAGCGCATGCCCGTTCTCGCACGAGTGTGGCAGCGGGGCAGCCCAGATCGACACACCCTGCCGCTTCTTCGCCGCTGGCCACTGCGCCAATGGATCCAGGTGTCCATTCCGACACGGGCCGGCGCGTCAGCAGAGTGCGGCCGCCGCAACGCCGCCACCGCTGCAGCGGTCTCAGCAGCCGGAGGAGAGGCAGCAGCCTCACCCCGAGGGTGCTGCGGCGGCGGCCGTGAGTGAGGTTGGACCGCACTCTTCTCCTCCAGAGCTCTCGATTCCTCCCCTGCCCTCCACTCCCCAGCCGTGTGTTGCTCCGCAGCCCTCTCCTCCGCAGCCCTCTCCTCCGCAGCCCTCTCCTCCGCAGCCCCTTGCCGGTGTGGCGGGCGGCCGAGGCCGAGGCCGAGGCCGAGGCCGCGGGCGTGGACGCGTCCCCGACCCGTCCAGGAGGGAGGCTTGCTCGGAGGACGAGGAGGGCGGCCCGGCCGAGGGCGGCGGCGGCGCCGCCCCACCAAAGGCCTCTTCTTACGTGGTTGCCGCCGGCGGCGCCGAGCCGGCGGCGCGGCCCCTCTCGCCAGAGGCGCGCCCTCGACCGGGCGGCGGAGTCGGCCTGGACCCGACGGATGCGGAGGTGCGCGCTTCGCTGGACGTGGCGTGCGGCGTCTGCCTCGAGCAGGTCCGGCGGTGCGTGCCGGCCGGCCTCTTCGGGATCCAGTCGGGGTGCAGCCACACCATCTGCTTGGCATGCATCCGCACGTGGAGGGCGTCCCACACCGTCTCGATGCAGGAGGGCGGCTCGCGCGTGCCCCGAGTGCCTGAACCTTCTCTCTGAACCTCCCCGACCCTTCGCAGGTGGCTCGCTCGTGCCCCGAGTGCCGCGTGCTGTCACACTATGTGGTGCCGTCCGCATTCGTCCCGGAGAGCGCCGAGCGCAAGGCCATGCTCATCGATGGCTACCTCGCTCGGCTCAAGCACCTCCCGTGCAAGCACTTTGCCTTTGGGGAGGGCAAATGCCCCTTCGGCGCCGCCTGCTTCTACTCCCACACCGACCGCGCCGGCCGGCCCGTGGGCCCCGAGCCGGCGAGGAGGGTCCTGGCGGCCAGGGGCGGCGGCCGCGGCAGCGCGCTGGCGCAGTACAGGCTGTCGGACTACTTGTTCGCGCCAGAAGCATCCAGGCAGCAGGACCTGCTGGAGGGCGTCCCCGTGCGCGACTTGCGTCTCGAGGATGCGTGAGCTGCGTTTCGCGTATTGTTTTGAGACATGTACACAGAGGGGCGCGCGGACAGCGCGCCGCCAGGGGCGCCGCAGGCGCCTCAAGCGGTGCGGAGCGCCGCCACAGGCGGCGGACAGCAGGTGCGCGAAATTAAACGCCATTTTCGGTTCCGCGGTTTTGGCACTCGGTCTACCAACTTTGTGGTACAAATCGACTTGCACTTGGTCTGAGCCCTGCGCTGCGTTTGAGCCTCCATTCTGAAAGTGTACGTAGAAGGGAAGGCAGCAGGTCCGGCTTGCGAACTCCGCTGTGCGCCGACAAGCGGATTGGCGCCGAGTAGAGGCCATTTTTTCCTATTAGAAAAGGCTGTCGAGAGCGCAAAATTTTCTTCGCTGCGCGCCCAACCATGGTGGGCACGCAGCGGGCGCCTGCGGCGCCAGATTTTTGAAATGTCTGCCAGTCGCCCAACCTGATCTCAGAATCACTCTTGTCGCCACACAGACGCCACGCGCCGCCGGTCACGACACACGAGACTCTCCACCGAGACTCTCACGGAGCACTTCGACTTGGAGTCACGGAATCACGACACACGCCTCTCGCAGTCGCACCGCACACGAGACACGCCACACACATTGGTGATGGTCTGTGGTCATTGCCGCTCGAGCGAGAAACACACAACTACCAAAACACCCCCGGCGCGGAGACTAGGGGAAGGGCGTAGGGGGGACCCCAACTACCTCTTTATGCGCATTGCCCTCAGCAGATACCGTTGATAGATTGGTCGCGTTCGGCTCCCTCGCGTCGTCTCCTCTTCCACTGACCACAGGCAATCTGCCGCTGCTGTGCCTTCCGTCTCGCAATCAATGACCCAACAGGCCGCGGCGACTTGGGGCATTGGTGGCGGGGTGATGGGCGGGGTGGTGGTGGATGGAGGATACGGCGACAGCGGCGGAGGCGATCGTTGGCCCTGACTGCGCTCCGAGTGAGGACCGGAAGCCTGATCGGGAGCCAGGCTGAGAGCGGGCCGGTCAGAGACCCTCTGTAGCTGCCACCGCCGGCACCACCTGCGATGGGAGACGCAACGTGATGGGAGGCGCATTGTGCGTCATTGAGTTGCAACTGCTGGGGATCGGGCGAGCCTCGTCTCTGCTGCACAAGGGGGTCCTACTCACCAGCCCGGTCTCCCGTCAAAGTCGACGAGAGCGTCCTTTGTGTCCACTGCCGTGACGACGCCAATCGAGCCCGTGGGCGGGGCTTCGAGGCCAAGGGCAGCCAACGCATTGCACTCGGTGCTGCAGAGGCGAACGTGATCGCCCACGGAGATGGACGGCATCCTAACCCGGGACTATGTCTGGTTTGGGTGGTTTGGCGCTCCGTGTGCCGACACACAGAGCTGTTCAAACATCCAGTAAACGCGGGCTCTTTAATCAGTGTACGTACTTTTAGCTTACTGGGAGAAAAGAGAGAGGGGGTTGTGTTCTCTAGGCCCCTAAGGGCCCTACGCGGCGTGAGAGCTCGGAAGCGAGCTTTGCACGGCGATCGAGGATGGCACGGTTCACCCCCTTCACCGAAGCGATGGAGATGCGTTCCGCGTGGTGTGACACAAATGAGAGGCGGGAGTGGGGAGGGTACGCGGTGCGGTCAACGCCCGAGCGTTGAGCCTTGCGCGCAAGGCGGTTGATCTCTCTCTCAGTGTATGTAGCGGTCTTACGAACATACCCGTAGTTAATGACCGCGCAAGATATGAAGGGTGGCTAAGGGCTCTGCCCGCAAGGCGCCCGCGTCGCAGACGCGGTACCATTGACAAATCTGCAATATACCCCCACACGAGCAAATAGCAAAATCCGAATACCGTGCACAAATCCGACGATGTCGGCCGTGGACGGGCCGCAAGCCTTCAGCTGGTGCCAAGACATCCGTAAAATCAGCAGTTCACCCTCGCGCCTCGGGTATGTTCGAAAGAGCTACATACACTGAAACTTGAAGCCAAGAACGTCCGCCAAATCCGTGCTTTCGGAGCTACTGAGGGAAGCCGCTGATCGAGCCCAGCGTGCCCGCGGCCGCCTCCCGCGCAGCAACGCCGCTGGGGACGACACGCTGCGGAATCGGATCGAGCCCATGCACACGGGCAAAGAAGGACGCTGCAGAAGCGGTTGGAGAGGCAGCCGGCGTCTGCCGTCACAACGAGTCCCAGCGCTGGTTGGACATGCGCGCCGGCTCGCCCGAGGACTGCTATCGCGACCCTCCCGTCGTGACGCAGCCTCCGACGAGCTCTGCAACCGAGGAGAGTGAGGGTGCGCCTCCCCTCACTGCTGGCCTGGCTGCGCACCGCCCCACAAAGCACCCCCTCGAGCATCTCTACAAGTACAAGCAAGTGCAAGGCCGACCTTCTCCAAGTCGTCAACGCGCCCGGCGCGGCTCCGGCAAGACTTTACAGTCTTGGAGAACCCTGTCCACGCCTGAGGATTCTGCACTAGCGATTCTGCCACCCAAGACAGGATTCTGTATGCGGAGGCTCGAGAGGGATTCGTGTCCGTTTCTTCTGATTCTCACTCTCCTTTTCCGGTTCTGCCTACTCGATCTGATTCTGCCCGTCCCCTTTCCACGCACTCAGCCTCCGGGCAGGATTCCTCACCCAGCTTCCGTTTCTGCCTAATCGATCTGATTCTGTCCGTCCGATTCTCGCCTTATCAGATTCTGTCGCGCGATTGCGGTTTCTGCCTCCGGATGCCGGAAAGGAATTTTCCGCTCTCCGCCGATTTCTTGGCAACCCGGCGACTCTCGTTTCCTGATTCCTGTTTTTGCCCGTCGAGGGGCGGTAGCCCGGCCGGCCGGCCATCTGGGCATGCTCACTCAACCAATCACGCTCATGTGTACGCGCCGTATCCTCCGCGCCACCCACTTTGCCATCGAAGTGCGCTCCGCGCTCCGCACAGTACAGTCACTTTTGAACGGCGGCTCATCACACGTGCGTCAGAGATCTCATGGGCGGTGGCATGGTGGAGCCAGAGCAGTGCGCGGCCGATCTTAATTCTGGGCAGGCGGTCTCCCATTCCCGCGGGCGCTTGGTGCCGGGGTTTGAACGGCATGCCGGCGTCAGATGCAGCTTGGCGCCGGCCTGCGGCGACCCCGCAAGCGGTCGTTGGTGCTGCTCAGCGATGCTCACAGCGGCACGTCTGCTCTTTTGCTGTGGGGAGTGCTGTCTGATTGGGTCTCCAAGCCCGCGGGCTCGCTGTGAATGCACCCGCCAGCTAGGCAGCTCCGCGGCGGTGTGGGTGTAGAACGGGTAGGCTGCTGTCTCGTGTCTCGGTGCTCGTACTAAGTCAATGGGAGGAGTGCTTCAATTTCTTCTTCTTATACGCCCAGCTCAAAAGCACACACGCATCACGACGCCTAGACAGGCGAGACGCGGCGACAGCCGCGGCGAGCTCGTTTTAGAAGCGAGCCGCTCGCGGCGAGCAGTTTTAGAAAAAGGGAAAAGGGGGAGGGTTAGTTTGAACCCGAGCCGAGCTTCGCTCGGCTCCCCCCCGCGCGGGAGCGCCCCCCCCCCCCTCTCCTCGGGGGGGCGGGCAGAGCCCGCACCACACACTGCGCCTTTGCGGACGCCGGACCGAGGCCTAAGCGCTGAGTGCGCTGACGTGAGGCTGGAGCGCCAGAGAGACCCGCGCCTGAGCATGCTGCCGCGGGCGAAGTTTGAGTGAGCTGTGTGAAGCCCCGCGCACACGCAATATCGGCTCAGGAGTTCGGAGAGTCAGGCCAACATAGGATCCCGCCGAAATGCGTAACTCCGAGGAATCAGGAATCAGGAAGCAGGAATCAGGAATCAGAATCCCGGTCAAAATGTTGGAATCAGGAATCAGGAATCAGGAATCAGGAATCAGAATCCCGGTCAAAATGTGGGCGATCCGACAAATCAGGAATCAGGAATCAGGAATCAAATGGAGCATCAAGAATAGGAAGAGAGACAGGAGAATCGGGAGGGGGAGCAGAATCAGGAATTGGCTCTGGCTGCCCTAGAGAATCGGAAAGGAAGCGGAGGAACCGAGAATGGAGAATCAGGAAGCTGAAAGCGGGGCCAAGATGGGAGAGTCTGGGGAGAGAATCAGAATATCTGAGCAGAAGAGGAACCTGGGAAGGGGAATCTAGTGAGAGGTAGAATAGCAAGAATCCTTGTGTAGTAGAGCAGAATAGGAAGGGCAGAATCCTTAGGCGCGGACAGACTTCTCCATTACTCAGACTTTAGCCTTGGCCACCCTCCTTATACGATCGTATTACGGAGCAGGAGGAGATCCGCTCTCGGTCGGCAACGTGGCAGCTAGTCGAGGGACTCGGTAGTTGTGACCCCCCTGGGTGAGGACAGACAGGTGGAGAGAGAGAGCTTTTGTGGTGTTGGTGTACGCAATAACGGGACAGGGTAGTCGTTCTCTCTAGCTCCCCTTCTAGCTCTTGGCATGTCGCATGAGCTGCGCCCTGTGTCCGACCCCTTTTGCTTTTGCGCAGCAACACCTTAAACTTTTAGGCCCTCCAAATTCGGGTCGGAGCGTACTCGAGACGAAACAAGTATTGCTAAAAATCTCTCTCGAGTAGCGGAGTGGGCCCCGAGTTTGAAAAAGGCGACGGACGCTTGCGTCCAGCTGCTTGCGTCCTAGCCTCCAACAACGCCTCCCCGACGCAGAGGGGCCCCCGGAGGGATGCTCAACCGCTCCACGCCACGCCGCTTGCGGCGGTCCTATTCCCAGCTCGCGGCACTTAACTTATTCTTTTCGAGCCAGTCTGCTTGGCGCACGAAAAATTCTTTTCGATTTCGCGACGCAAGCCGCCCTGAGAACCGCCTTGAACTCCGCCCTCTTTCGTGGCCGCCCTCGCTCTTCACGGGTGCCCGTGTATGCAGCTGGCCGACGGGACGCAGATCGTCCGCTCGCCACGCAGCGACACCGCTATGCAACAGCCAGCGCACCTGCGTCACACGCAGCGGACTGCACAAACGGCCTCGGAGACGGGAACGGCCGAAGAGGCCTCAGAGACCTTGTCCGACCCTGGCGCCTCGGGAGAGCTGCTCGCGTCAAGCCGTCCGATGGGCCTGGGCGGGCACGCCCTGCTGCTGCTCGCGCTCCTCTCTGGCAGCGCGGTCGGCCTCCTCTTCTTTTCGCTGCTCGGGTACGGCGTCGAGGTGTACCGCGCCCTCGCCTCTGTGGACTGGTGGCTGGCGCCCTCGCTCGTGGTGGGCGCGCTCCTCCTGCTCGTCGCGCTGTACGCCCTCGACGCGCGCTATTGGAAGGGCGCCGGCCGCATCGCCGCTTATTTCCCGCTGCTCGCCGCCGCTGCCGGATCGCTCGGCGCCGCCTGCCTGCTCGGCACAAAGCAGTATCCGTACGCGCCGCTGCTGTGCGTCTTCCTCGTGCCGACGCTGGGCGTGTGGCTGCTGCGCCGCGCCGCCCTGCCCGCCGTCCCGCCGCGCGCCTTCTTCGTCGCCCTCTCCGCCCAGCTGCTCCTCCTCGCCGTGGCGGTGAGCAGCTCCGCAACAGCTCCACCAGACGGCACCGCACCGCAGACAGAAACCGCCCCGCAGACGCCACCGCACGGAGACACGCGTCAGCAGACACACGCCGCGCACATGCCCCGCCGAGCACTGCCCTGCGGCCGGACGCGGAGATGCCGACGGGCGCCCCGCAGGTGAGCCTGGCGTTTGCGGCGTGGGTGTTCTGGTCGCCGGCGTGGGGCGTGGAGGAGTGGGAGGAGTGCGAGGCGGGCCCGGCCCCTGAAAC